TCCACCTTGGCTATTTCCCAGCCTTTCCCAGCCCTTTCCCAGCCCTTTCCCAGCCCTTTCCCAGCCCTTTCCCAGCCTTTCCCAGCCTTTCCCAGCCCTTTCCCAGCCTTTCCCAGCCCTTTCCCAGCCCTTTCCCAGCCCTTTCCCAGCCTTTCCCAGCCCTTTCCCAGCCTTTTCCCAGCCTTTCCCTGCTCTCCAAGCTCACGGATGGATTTTCTCTCTGCCCCCCAAGGACCAAGAACGCCGGACTCCCCTCCATGCTGCTGCCTACATCGGAGATGTTGCAATCCTCGAGCTCCTCATCCTGTCAGGTGAGAGCCAGGGATGAGCCCCTGATCCCCCCCAAACCTCAGGATGGGCTTTGCTTCCCTCCAAGCCACCCCGAGCTCACGGGGTGGCAGCCAGGAGAGGATTAGGGAATGGTGCCATAATCCTCAGAGCTTTCCACATCTTGGAACCGAAATAGCCAAGGTGGAGACAGAGCCAGGAGGGGGATGTGTGGTGCTGGAGGAGGGGGATGCTCAGAAGGGCAATTCCAGAGAAAATCCCCTAAAATCCAAGGGGTTTTGCTCAGTTTTGGGTTGTGTCACCCGTCACTCTCCGGAAAAACTCCGTGCTTGAGCCCTGTGTGTGGAATTTTGAGTGTCCTCATCTGCTCCTCACCCTCTGGAGCCTCAGGACACCAGCAGGAGAGAGGGAACCCCGAGGCTGCCGTGATCCTACGTGACCCCAACAGGGATAAACTCTGTGAAAATTCCCAGCCAAGGACTCGTTAAACAAGATTTGGGATTTGCAGAGCCCTGTGGGGGTTTTCCCTGCCTCATGTCAGGCTCTGGGCTGCAGGGAGAGGCAGCTGAGGGGTTTTTTGGGGTGTTTTGGGGTGCTGGGTCCCCCCTGAGCTGCTGTGTGTCCCCACAGGTGCTAATGTGAACGCGAAGGACACGGTGTGGCTCACGCCGCTGCACCGCGCCGCGGCCTCTCGCCACGAGGTGGGTGCTCCGGGGAGAGCCCTTCCCTGTGGGAATGCTGGGGGGAAAAAAGGGAGTTTATCCTCCTCTTTCACTGGTTTGGGGAATGCAAAGTTCTGGAGAGAGCTGGGGGAAAAAAAACAAACTTCCTTGGTTGCTTTCCCTCCATCCCGCAGGGATTTCCCCATTTCCTCCTCCCAGGCTTCACCCCTTCCCCAGGGCTTTGTTCTGGATTCACCTCTCCTGGAGGGATGTCGGGGCTCCCACCCTGTCCCTCAGGAGCTGATTCCAGAAGTTTTCCCAGCCTTCATCTTCTGTGGGTTTGACTTCATCCACGTAACTTTTCCCTGGTTTGGAGAGGCAGGAATTGGTTGGAGCTGGGAAATCCGAAGCCCTGAGTGGAATTCTCCTGCTCAGTGGGGTGGGACAGGAGTGTGAGCACCTCTCCTGAAGGTGTTTGTGTGTGGTCAATCCCTAAAACACAGAGCTCCTGCTACTTCTCTGGGAATGTGGGAGTCCATCCACGTTTTTCCACCTGGGAAGTTCGGCTCAGATCTCCTCAGAGGAGCCTTCCCAATGCTCTCCCTGCCTGGAGCCCGCTCTGCGGGGTGGCTGGGTTGTTTTTTTGGGGCCCTGGGAGTGAAGATCCGTGGGGTCAGGATCCCTGGAAGCTCTGCCCCCATGGCAGAGGGAGGAGAAGCCAGGAAGCCAAAGCCTGGGCAGGAACGGGTAAATAAATGTCAAATGTAGGTCAGTGGGTCAGGTTTATCATCCCCTGGGCCCTGCTGAGTCACCGGGGAGAGTTCGCTCCTCGTTCTTCACGTGGTTCTTCCCGTGGCTGTGGGATTTTCCTTCCCCCAGCCAGGATTCATGGCTGGGATCGGGTGGGATGAGCCCACCTGGCTCAGGTCCCACCTGGAAACGGAGCTGGAGCTGCCCAAGTGAGGGCTGGGGGAATTGCAGAATCCAGGGAAGTTTGAGGTTGGGAAAGATCTCCCAGTCCAAGGTGGGACCGATCCCCACCAGGGCCCTGGACACCTCCAGGGATGGGGACTCCAAACCTCTCTGGGCAGCTCCAAAGCCTGACAGCCCTTTCCATGGAAAAATTCCTCCTGCTGTCCATCCTGAACCTCCCCTGGAAAAGCTGGAGCCATTTCCTCTTCTCTTGATGTTCCCTGGGAGCAGAGCCCGGCCCCAGCCGGCCCCGCTCTCCCGTCAGGGAGGTGTGGGGTGAAAAGATCCCTCCTGAGCCTCCTTTTCTCCAGGCCCAGCTCTTTCCCAGCCCCCTCAGGACTTCTCCAGAGCCTTCTCCTGCTGCTCCAGCCCTTCCCCAGCTCCATTCCCATCTCCAGCCCCTCAATGTCCCTGTGGCCTCACGTTTCCCGCTCTTTTTCTCCCCTCACGTTTCCCGCTCTTTTTCTCCCCTCACGTTTCCCGCTCTTTTTCTCCCCTCACGTTTCCCGCCCTTTTTCTTCCCTCATGTTTTCTGCTTTTTTCTCCCCTCACATTTCCAACCCTTTTCCCCTCACATTTCCCACCCTTTTCTCCCCTCACATTTCCTGCTGTTTCCTCCCCTCATGTTTCCCACCCTTTTTGTCCCTCACATTTTCAGCGGCCCAGAGCTGCACCCTGCACTGGGGAGGCCTCGGCAGTGCCAGCACAGAGGGACAATCACTGTCCCTATGGCTGGGACAGCCCAGGTGCCATCCTGGGCACGCCAGCTCATCCCCAGCGCCTTTCCCAGTGGGAATATCCTCTCTCCCTTTGAGAGAAAATCTCACCCACAGCTTCAGGGTGGACACAAACATCTCCTACCCTCAACGTCACAGGGAAAATCCTGCAGCTCTGGAATCATGAGGGATTGGGATCCGGGGGTGGTTCGTGGGGCTGCATCCAAGCCTTTCTCTGCTCTCACACCCCACAGAAAGCTCTCCACCTGCTCCTGAAGCACTCGGCCGATGTCAACGCCCGCGACAAGCACTGGCAGACGCCGCTGCACGTGGCCGCAGCCAACCGGGCCACCAAGTGCGTGGAGGCCCTGGTGCCCCTGCTGAGCACCGTCAACGTGGCCGACCGCACCGGGCGCACGGCGCTGCACCACGCCGTGCACAGCGGCCACCTCGAGGTGCACCGGGAGCGTGGGGTGGCAGCCATGGGTGGGCAGGGACAGGACTGGGCAGCAGGGACATTGGGGTGGGCAGGG